ATCCTACTCACAATGTCAGGGTTGCTCTCTAAAATTTAGTGCAAGAGGTGAAAGTATCAATATCAACAGTGTCCTAATCAGTGACCCTAAAGTGTAACTGTTAGAAGCTGCCAACATGAAATATATTTATTCTGTTTTAACTTTACCTTTAAGTGGGCCATGAGTAGAAGAAGGCTTAAGAATGCTCCGTCTGGCTAATCCTGATCCTAACAGCATAGAAATTAAATCATAGAATGTGTGTATTACTGGTTAGGCCAACATTTTTTGCCCATTCCTAACTGCTGTTGAGAAGATAATGAGGAATTGCCTTCTTACACCATTGCAATCCACGTGGTGAATTTTGTAAATTAATCTAAAAGGCTGTGAAATAGTTAACACAGTGTGGAGCTGAGGAGCACAGCGGACCAGGCAGTATCAGAGGAGCAGGAAAGTTGACGTTTCAGGACCCTTCTTCAGAACCCTTTAGAAGAAGGGTCCTGACCCGAAATGTCAACTTTCCTGCTCCTCTGATGCTGCCTGGCCCATTGTGCTCCTCCAGCTCCACACTGTGTTATCGCTGACTCCAGCATCAGCAGTTCTTACTATCTCTGTGAAATAGTTAATATTTGATTAAATCTATTAAGCACCATGATGATGTCACAAGGATTTGGTCAGTGTAAAGAAGGACCTGGTAAGAGACAGACCTAAAGTAAGTGTGCTCCTAACAGCTTCTCTGTAGTAATTTGTGTCATATTCACGTAATCTGCAAACTGTTGCAGTAATGCAACAAATCTCTACTATTTACTCAACCAGACTCTTTTAGTTAAACCAGAAATGTGGCTATCCTCGTCCACGTTGCCACTTTCATCTTAAAGCTACCCTCACACACAACAGTAGAGTCACCTCTAGCATTTGATTGCGGTGGTAGTTTGACCCAGTGATAAGGAAGGGACAGTGATATAGCTTCTTGCTGGGATTCCATGACTTAGAAGGCAACATGATGGTGGTGTTTCCATTCACCTGCCTTCATTGTCCTTATAGGTGATTAAGGATGCAGGTTTAGCTAGGTGCTGTAAAAGAAGCCTTTGTGAGTTATTGTAGTGCATCTCGTAGTTAGTACGTGCTGTAGCCATGTTGCACCTAGGGAGAGTGAACATTTAATGTTGTGGATGGTGAAGGCTACAGCTAACCCTGATTACATTCACCAGCATCATGGATTTACCTGTGTGCTTGCCCAACATTGGAGCCAGCTGAATCTTCAGAGATCCAAGCTGTGTCTCACTTTGCCATGAGATGCAACTTTAACATCTGGATCATGAAGCTGACTTTTGTTTCACATGCAGGTCCTCCCTCAATGATTTTTTTTTTGCCATACTTTCCCTTCATCGATCCAGAGGCACTCAGGAGGTGGGGACAGAAACTATTTCCCAGTTGAGCATTGTAAACAATAGTGTTGACCTAAGTATCCCGTTCAACTCCATATCCTCTCTTGTGCAAAGACTGTCTACTTCCTTCTTCCACTTCTAAAACTTGGCCCAATTCTGACCCTGCTTCAAGCCATCTGCTGCTGAAACCCTCATTCAAATGATATCCACTGTACACTTTCCCCGCACAGCCTCCAAATGTTCACCCTCCAAAAACTGAGCTGCCAGTAACATCAATACAGTGTGGAGTTGGACGAACACAGCTAGGTCAGGCAGTATCAGAGCAGCAGAAAAATCAACATTTCAGGTCAGGAACCTTCATCAGTCCTGATGCTGCCTGACCTGCTGTGTTCCTGCAGCTCCAAACTGTATTGACTCTGATAAAAACCAAAAGAACCGCGGATGCTGTAAATCAGGAACAAAAACAAAATTGCTGGAAAAGCTCAGCAGACCTGATGAAGGGTCTAGGCCTGAAATGTCAGCCTTCCTGCTCCTATGATGCTGCTTGGCCTGCTGTGTTCATCCAGCTCTACACCTTGTTATCTGAGCTTTTCCAGCAACTTTGTTTTTGTATTGACTTTGACTCCAGCATCTGCAGTTCTTGCTATCTGCCTGTAATATCCCACACTGTTAACATTTCACTGTTTATGATTTGCAGAATTGTCTCCCTGTCTCCCTGACATCCTCCCCCTCAACCCAACCCTCCAATTTAATACTGTTACCCTCATGTTTAAATGCCTTCATGGCATTTACCAAGTATCCTCCTCCCAGCCTAACTTCTGAATACTGTATATATTGTAAGCAGTTTTGGGCCTGTTGTGAGGAGTTTTGGGACTCTGTATCTAAGGGAGGTGTGCTGGCATTGGAGGGGATCGAAAGGAGGTTTACAGGAATGATCTTGTGCTTGAAGTGCTTGTCATATGAGAAGCGTTTGAGGACTCTGGGTCTGTGCTCAATGAAGTCTAGAAGATTGAGAGGGGGTAGGTTCTGATTGGAACTTAAAGAATACTAAGAGGACTGGATTGGCTGGATGTGGAGCAGATGATTCCACTAGTAGGAGAGACGAGGACCCAAAGGCACAGCCTCAGAGTGAAGAACTTTAGAACTGAGATGAGGAGGAATTTCTTCAGCCAAAGAGTGATTAATCTGTGGAATTTATTGCCACAGAAGGCTGTGGAGGCCAAATCATTGAGTGTATTAAAGACAGAGATAGAAAGGTTCTTAATTGGTAAGGGGATCAAGGGTTACAGGAAGAAGGCAGGAGAATGGGGTTGAGAAACTTATCAGGCATGATCGAATGGCAGAGAAGACACAATGGGCTGAATGGCCTAATTATGCTCAAATATCTTCTGACCTTATTCCACACTTCTTGCAAATCCTGATGCCTCCCTTCACAATTGTACTGTGCCCTTGCCCAGAGCTTGCCGCTCCCAATCTTGAAGGTTAACCTTCCGAGGCTCAATCCTGGGGCAACTGCTGCACTGGTTCCCACCATTTCCCATTGTTTCTTTGGATGAACCAGCCAGCTAATCATGGCCCACTCCCTCAACCGACATGATCAGACGGCCCCAGGGAAGACATGCCTAGGCCCCTGACTGGTGCCTGTCCCTAAGGTTTTGGAGTAGATCTGTATCTCGGGTTGTGGGTGTTAAGGTTGGTTGTCTGTCCATCTGCCTGACTGTGTTAGCCCTATGCCCCAGACTTGCCACCACTGATGACGCACTCCCGGCAGAGCCCTGGACTCCCTGACACAGAACACCCAAACCAGAGCCTGACCATGGCCAAACTTGCTGTGGGACGCTGCACTTGCCTTACTGTGCTGGGACCCCTGAAGTGACAGATGTCTCCATGGATGTCAGTTGGACCACTTCCCTGAGACTAAGGCTGCCGGCTTGTTGCACATGCGGTGTGTTTGCCGGGTAAACTGCTGACCCATGGAATAAATGTTTGTTTGAAGTAGCACACTGCCATACAGCAAGGTTAGCATTAGAATTAGGTTTCATTGTCATGTGTACTCAAGTACAGGGATACAGGAGTATGGTGAAATGTATACAATGTTGCCATTTCCAGCACCATCTCAGGTACAAAGGTACCTAGGTACAAAATCTTTGGTACAAAGTAGAAAAATAACTAAGTTCAACATTACAGTTCTTTTTAGTATAAAGTAGAAAAATAAAAAAAAGTTAAAAGTTCAGCATAACTTTCTTTCTTTAACCTTGGGCCTGCAGAGGGTCCACGCTGGGCTTTCCGCATGAGGGCTCACACTCACAATGAGGGTTCAATCTCTCACCTGCGATGGGCTTGATGTCTCCCTCACGCTGCCGTCTCGCCTGCCACTGCCAGAGTCCTGCCAAGATTTGCCAGCTGCCTCACTGCTGACGGTCATCTGGGCCCACCAGCCGCAATGCCGCCAACAGCTCGAGTTCTGCCCAACACACTAGCCCACCTCATCGCCAAGCACCAAAGTCCCACTTGCGACCCCAGCCACTGTCATGCTCCCGACCCCAATACCATCGCCTCCGTGACTGAGATGTCTCCATAAGTTAAGCTAAGAAAAAGCCCAAAAACATTTAAAAAAAAGAAAGAAAGAGAAAAGAAGGAAAAAAAGGGACAGAGTGGATGAGCCCCATGCTCAGAGCCCAGGCGCTGCCTACTCTGCCACTGCCACCTTGCTACATACAAGATATACGTCCCCTAAGCTGTTTGGCACAAGGTACAGAGCTGGATAAACACAGCAGGCTAAGCAGCATCAGAGGAGGAGGAAGGCTGACGTTTCGGGCCTAGACCCTTCTTCAGTCTAGGCCTGAAACATCAGCCTTCCTGCTCCTCTGATGCTGCTTGGCCTGCTGTGTTCATCCAGCTCTGCACCTTGTTATCTCAGATTCTCCAGCATCTGCAGTTCCTACTATCTCTGGCCACAAGGTACACTGCCTGTTTGTGACTGCACTAACTGGCACAGTGAAGCACAGCCGAGAAAAGATGATATGATCATGCAGGTAAGCACTAAATAAGTGAGAGCTAAGAGAGCAAATACAATTATCTGAGATGCAGCCTAGCCCTGTTTCTGAGCTGAGTCCCTGGCCCCTTCCAAAAAACATCCCTCCCTCAGCATTTCAATTGTTAGTTGCATGCAAGTCTGTACCAGTGGCAATATGATACTGCCAGTGAATAGTGGAAATGGTTGTGAAGGGTTGGTAAATTTTGCCATGTATCACACCATAGCCCATATTGCCCAGACCCCATAAATTTCCCATCTTCGTAACCTTGGAAATAATTAGTATTGTAAATAAGCTCAAGGTAACTCAAAACAACTTGGCTATCTGTGGTCAGCGTTACATGGGATAATATATAAAGGAAAATGTCAACGAGCGTCACCACAGTCCCGGGAGGTGCTGAAAAATGAGTCGGGGAGAGAAAAGAGGACTCGCAAAATACTCTTTTGAGTATCTGGCATCTAGTGATAAGCAAGTGAAAGCAGAAGGAACAGTCATCACGGAGCAGCAGAAGAAAAGGCAAGATAAGAAAACAGAATAAGAAGAAAAGATCGCTAATTTGTTGGATATTTGGACCATTAAGAAAAGATTTTTTTTCCCCCAGTTTGTGATTAGTGTTTTTTGCAAGCTCATTTCTATGGGAATGAATTGGTATTGAAGAACAGAACAAAAGGTAGGTTGCACATCAATTAAAACCAGCTAGCAACAACAGCTCAACATGCTCTGAAAGTCATTAGCCCAGCAGAGAATTTGCATCTGAAAGACAAATATCTTGACCTGATCAAGCACTCACCAAGAGCGAACTCCCCAGGGAAGGAATGTCATGGCAGGAAAGAGCAGATAGCAGAAAAACTGACAGCCAAGAACTTACATGCATGTTATTAAAAGACTTCGGTACTTTGGAGGTAATGGATTGGTCAGGAACTAATGAAAGTGGTACAGACTTGAATTATCATAGATCTGCTCACGAATGATAATTTGTCTTTTTTGATCATGTATGTTGGGATACTTGGGTAATTTGTAATTGCAAATGATAGCACATACAATTTTTTTTATGAAAAGTGGGATATTTGAAGAAATGCATTTGTACTTACCATTCAAGCTAGTTTGTGGCAATCATGTGACCTCTACCTCTGTTATAGATCCATTCATTTCAGTTTGTGGCAGCCATTAAACCTTATACTTGTAAAGTGATCCTTCTATTCTGGCTACTTTTATATCCAAACCCTACTTTACCTTCATCTACCAGCAATTGCTGCGTCTTTCACCATTGGATCTTAGGCTCTGAAAATACACCCCTAACCCTCTGCCTCTCCAATTTCCTTTCCTTGTTTCGAAACGTCCTTTAAAGCCCCCACTTTGACCATGTTGTTGCTCATCCAACCTAAAGCATCTTTTTCATTGGCTAGATATCCTGGTTTCAGTTCTTGGAAGCGTTTTGGATAAAGGCAGTATATTACTGCAGGGTGTAATTTTGCTTTGTGCTATGTGATGTTTGGAACCCCCTCGACTCTTATTACACCACAGTTCTAAAATCCGTTCTTAAACAAATATTAGCACAGTTTCTTGAAGAAATTCATTAAACTAGCAGTTCATAAACTGCTTGGAATGTGATATTTTGTTTATTCTGTTCCCCTGTAATCTATTATCTCTGTTGTGATAGTTTATCTGCTGGCGAAAACACTTTGTGCTTGTTGCTAATGGTGCTGCTGTTCAGGGCTGATTACATTTTGTGGGTATTTTATACATCATTTCATGTATGTAAACTAACTGGATATATGAACAGATGCAATAATAAATTCCTTAGGTCACATATCTATCAACAATTGCAAGCTGTTTTCACACCTTGCTAAACATCACTCTGAACCACCCATTATGGAATTTCAGAAGACCAAAAATTGTCCTTCCTGCTTAATACACTCCCGTCACCCCCACATCCTGCCCTATAACAATGCCACTGGGATTGTGAACGTGGCAAGCTGAAAATAAGCCTGCAGCTCTTGTGACTCAAGGTTAACATCCTACTGTGCTCTATTTTTAGTTTGCTAGAATTACTGAATGGAAATAGTGCCCACAGTACCTTGTCAAACAGTGCATGAGAAATGCTGAGCAGGATGAATTCACTCCTTTTCAGATTTCCGTAAAATCTGAAGAAAATTAATTCCGTAGAGTGCACAATTCATCACAAAATAGCAAAACAAAATTTGAAAGCAAGTGCCAGCCATACATTCTGTACTGAATTGAAAAGTCACAGCAATTACCAGCTAACAGTTAACTTGTCCAAGATTGGTTAAAAAAGGTAGATTTAATCAAACTCTGCAGTTAGAAACTGTGAGCAATAGTGATCCCTTAAGAATGCAGTCTGTCCTACAGGACATTATTTAGGGCTACTAAACATCATGTTTTATTGAAGAAATCAATAAGTCAAAGGCTTGTAATAGTGTCAACAAGCATTCATGCTCGACAACAAGAAAAATCTGTTAGGTCAAAGTTGATCACATTTATTTTCACATTTCATCTGCCCACTGAGGACTTAAAGAGCAGTCTAGCTTCCAGCTGCTGTGATGATCAACTTGGCCTTCCTTGCAATGTACAAAGCCCAATGAAATCTAATAGAGTTAAACTTGTCATACCTTATTACTTCTATTTATACAGTGACATAGGAGGCAATATAAGTGCACACCCGTGATTTGTGCTCTGCATTTAACAGGCAAAAAGTGATAGCAATATTAGAACTTTGTTTGTGTTTCTTCTTACGCTGTTTTATTCACTGATTCTTACTGTGATCCAGTATAGGTACTTTGTCCAATTTTCCATGGATGAGCCCAAATTGAATTTAGTTTTTGTCTCTTCGCTCATTGTTACTTTATATAATATATTGGCAATAAATGTGGCCAAGCAACATTAATATTAGTGTTCACCACCCCTATTATCATCCCATGTGATTCTTGCTAACTCATCTATTAACCTATTCAATTTTTTTATCATTTTAAATATTCTGCGATAAATTCCCTATGGTAAAAAGTGGGCACCAGATTATCTTGTCATTTCGTGCAGGAAGAAAGGAGAGAAGCTGTTGTGGGGGTTGGGGAGCTGGAGTTTAGAGTAACACTCACTCTTTGCCGAGGCATGACTTATCAGGTCCACGTTGTGAATGGCTCCAGGATCATTTTCAACTTGCTGACCAAGTGTAAAACTAGCACTGAAAATCAACTGCCTGAAAAAGATACAGATACCTTATTTTCATTGAAATCTGATCAGAAAAAAAACTGTTTTATCCTTGGCTGACAATTTGAAAATCTACCTCTTCATGTTCTGGCTCTCCATGAACTAACCCATGGAATTTAATTATAGAATAATTCTATAATTAAAGATTGCAGGGTTTGAGTTTTAGGGCAAGGCTGAATATGCTGGGGCTATTTTTCTCTGGAGCACTGGAGGCTGAGACATGACATTATAGAGGTTTGTAAAATCATGAGGGGCATAGATAGGGTGAATAGCCAAGATCTTTTTCTAGGGTTAGGGAGTCCAAAACTAGAGGGCACAGGTCTAAGGCAAGAAGGGAAAGTTTTAAAAAGGGCCTAAGGGGTAACATTTTCACACAGGGCGTGATGCGTGTCTGCAATAAACTGCCAGAGAAAGTGGTTGAGGCAGGTACAATTACATTTAAAAGGTAACTGGATGGGTATATGAATAGGAAGGGTTTTGAAGGATATGGGCCAAATGCTGCCAAATGGGACCAGGGCAGATTGGAATGTCTGATTGGTATGAGTGAATTGGGTGAGTTGGTACAGGTCTGTTTTCGTGCTGCATGACTCTATGACAATCAGAAGTAAAGTGCACACATTACTTTTCTTATCATAAACCATGTAGGGTAGATTTTTCCTCTGGAAGGTGTAAACAGAGTGTGGTAGATATTTTCTAATCAACCAGTTTGGAGATGCTATGACACACTCCTAAAGCAGCTGGGACTTTAGCCTAAGTCTCCTGGCTCAGAGGTAGGAACATTGCCACTGCATCACCAGAGCCCTCAAAACAGAGGGTGATATTTAATGGAGATGAAAGAAGACTCACATCCGGCCTTGGCAAATTAGGCTCTTAACTGGGCAGGAATAGGGACCCCAAGAGGAAAGCCCATGTGCTACATTTCAAATAACCCCTATTATGCATACCAGTTCCACATTTTTGTTAGTGAGCTCTTGGTGTACATCCCTGCCGATTATTTTAGTAATATTTGGCAAACAGAAAGCAATAAGCAGCAAGAGATGTAAATTATAGAAACATTTCTGCTGCACTGACTTGATATTGCAAAAAAGAGTCAATTTTCTATCCATTATAGAAACTTCTAGATTGCAAAAGAAAAAGAACCATCTACATTGTGGAGTGAAATGACAGCAACTGATTTTATTGTTGAAGCATACTTAATGCACAAGGAATTCAAGGCACTTTGAAAATCACACTAATGAAGACTAACTTTCACCTTGGAAGTCAGAGATTAAGAAGAGATGTTTGTGTTTCCAAACTTGAAATCCATTTAGATCTGAGAGGATCCCAAAAATCCGAGTTTTCTGTTTGTCTGGAGCAGTTGGCACCGTGTATCACCAACATAGCGCATCAAGAATTCTGTCGTGATTTTTTGCAGCTATTAATAATAAAGCACGTTGCAAAGATTTTTGTTTACCAATGCACTGGGACCAAGGCTGGAGACTGAGGGATCTGGTAGCATGTGGGAAACCTGGAGGTTTTGGTGAGCACTGTGGAGTTTTAAATCCCCAGTGTGTAACTTTTTGAATATCTCCCTGCTGGAAGTCTACCTGATTGACAAATTTGCCTTCAAGTGGGTAATTTGATCCCTGACTCCAGTGGGTCCAATTCCAAGAGGCAGTGGCAATCTAGTCCCTGATCAGGAGGAGTCCTAATGTCAAGGGCTGTGGTAAATTTTCTATATCAAGGGGGTGTCTTATGGGAGAGTTTCTTGGAGGACATGCTCCTGTTGATTCTCATGCAGAGGACTGAAGGTACCTATCTTTACCCAAGGCTGTCCCTCCTTTGCTGCAGATGCCAGGTTTCCCAAACCTCAGGAAGGCAGATTCAATCTGAGACTTTCCGTTTTTAACTTCAACCCACCTCCTAGGAGTTGGCTGTTTGCCCCAAACTTTTCCCACTTCAATAAAACCTGCACGTTAATGAGCTGGAGTTAGCTTCTTGATGTACTTAGAATTTTTGTCCACTAGCCACATTTTGAAATTACTTCACCTTCATTACTGTAACTGTGCACTATTTAAAAAAACGACTTCCAAGATTTTTGTGAAGTTAATTCAAAGAAACCAACCCATTTCTACAGGCAAACTTCACAGAGAACTTTTTAAAGAATCCATTGCTTTAAAAGATATTCACTTCTCATATGTTTTTCATAGAAAGGTTAAGGCTAAATAGTGCCTTATTACCAAATCCTGAAAGGGACTAAGATCAAGTTCAAGCATTCATGGAACAAATATGTTCCGTAGATAACTTTTTCTCTCCCTGCTCCCCTTCCTTTATGCTCAATTCACTTTCTTCCTGCTCCCTCTCATCTCATCCCTCATTATATTCCTTATTTTCTCCCATACTGTTCCCTTTCTTTCTTCTTTCTTCCATGTGTTCCCCTCTCTCTTCCCAATCTTCCTTTCCTCCAGTACATTTTGAAATGTTTACCAATCTTTTATATTTAATTCTTAAGAAACTATGTTTGAATTAAATTGAATTAACTTAAAGATCCATTGATTCTCATTGAATGACAAACAGGGAATTTGCTAATTCTCCAGGTTCCCTTTAATTATACCATAAATACATGTACCGTGGCAAAACATCTGGTTTTGTTTAGGTTATATTTTCCCTGTAGTGAGGATTGGAAGTGCTCTATTCG